TACGACTAGTGTCCATTTTGTTTTTGGTTTTTCTTCGCATCTGAATAAGAAAATAACTGACATTATATATATATATATATATATATATATATAAACTAATTTTTGTACATAATAAAGAAAGCTTAAAATACTAGAAAAGTTAGTGAATAAATGAAAAGAGTTTAATACATGTTATTGTTAATTAATTTACCGGTAGATTGTAGATAAATAATCCTGTTTTGCAGAATCCTGCAAACACTCCAAATACAAAATATTTATCAAAAAAGTTGTTAGTTTTGTCTTATGAGCAAGCTATAACTACTTGAGTGTTTGTACAAATGCTATGTGTTTGTCAGTGGTCTGTCAGATAGATCAATAAGTCTTTAAATACAATTTTTTTTCTTTCTGCCTCTTGTTAAGTACGTAAGTCGCTGCAAACATTGTTCTCTGCATATAACGCATGAAATGCCTCATGCACTGTGTACATAAGTTTGTGTAGTTCTTATTGATAAATTTGATTTAAATCAGGTTGTTAATGCTTTCAATTTATGTTTTGTTGGAAGTAATGTTGTGTCAGTCTCAACAAGATGTTCAGGTATGGTGTTAAACTTTGAAAGCAGCTCTAAAGCACTTGCTGTGGGAATCACAGAGCTCTGCTATAGAATTTGTGAAAACTTGTGTATTTTCTGTTGCTTGTATTTAAAGTTATTACTTTAATATTATAAATATTGTTGTAAGGTAAACAACATCAGAATGCACATACATAGATACTGCAGCACTTGCTTGTCTCAGGTTATGTTGTTGTTTTAGATATTTAAAAGTCGGCGGTTTCTTTAACCCAGTGATTAAAATTTTCACAATTTACATGTTTTATAAACTTGAAGGATAGTGTTCAGCAAGAAAATAAAAGTATGTTTTGAATGTTGTAGTTGAATATGTTCAATAACTTGTAATAACCACGTAATTGAATTGTTACTTAGTTTCTTGGATGGTATGACAGCACGGTTATTTGCATCAGAACCAATTAATTAACCATTTCTAACCCTTTCTAGACCAGATACATTGCTAGCTCATATGAAATATTCATCCTCACCAATTTTTGTAATTGGTAAAACATAAACTATGTAGACTTAAAAAAATTAAGAATTAATGACATAAAACAAGGTTATTATTTTTTGATGATGTTGAGCATTCACTTTATGATAAAAACATTTTAAATATCTGACATTGAAAAATTGGTGTGTTTTTTTCTATTTCAAAAGTTAATGTTTGATTTTAAGAAATATGTATTTTTTACTTATTTTGTTATTTACAATATAAACTAAGTATTTTATTCTGAAATCATATGAAATCAGATGTAAAACAGAATTAGTCCAAACCAAACAACTTTTGAGCTTCAATCAAATTTCATAGTTCAGAAGCGTCCTTGTTGTTTAGTGTTCAATGAATATGTATCTCTAGATTAATGCTACAATGCACAGAAAGTACTTGTTGTGTCTACTTAAAAACTTTTTAACATTTGACGATTTGAGCAGTCTCATGCCAGTCATTTAGTAAATCAGTGTGAATGGCTTTTTAACTTGCAAGCTTTATTATTTTTATTTTTTTGCTGTTTTTAGCACAAATCTTTTAAAAGCAAAATGTAAGGAAAAACTAAATACCCAAACTATACAGTGTAAAATATGAAATACTACTTTTGAATACATTGATACATGCTCCATAGTAAAGATATTTTATCTGTTATAAAAGGATACTGTAGTTCCATTTATAACACTTTGCTAAGAGGATAATATAGCTATATTTATAATACATATTCTTAATAAAAGGATGCTATTGTTCAAGTATCAGTGAATTATTTGAGTCTGGAAAGGGTTAAAACTAAGTAGAATGACTGTTTCACTAATTGTTATGCTTAGAACTACTAATGCTTGAAACAAATTTCAAGATGTTTAATGTCCAGTGCCATACCTCAAACTATAGAGGTATTGTATTTAGTTATATATTTATATTATTTTATTTTCAGTACAGAATTATCAAAAAACAGAAAATAGCCAAAGTTTTTTTTCACTGAAGGTGTAGGATTTCTTTTAAATCAGTAAATGTTTTGGAGTTTCTTTACTCATTGTCTGGATTTGGAAATAGGGAACACTGAACTTTATGTTGTTTCTTCATTCAAACTTATAAGTTATAAAAGTTGTTTTGTGAACTGGTACTAATTTTATTTTTTGTACAGGTTGAAAAATTCCAGTTTTTATTCATCTTTTAAATATTCCTAATGACAGTAACTTACAAAACAAGTGTACACATGAAATTGGTAACTTCATATTAACTTGAAAAACAATAGACAGACACGGTAGTAGTATACAAGCTGAAGAGCAAGACATTGACATTAAATTTAAATAAGGCCTTAAACCAACTACAAAGGAGGAAAAACATGGATATTATGTTGTTATATTAACTGAATACATAAGATGATGACAATATTTGCAGTTTACACCACAAAGAACTGAGAGAGCAACTCGGTAATTAACACATCAAGCAAGAAGTGAGAAAATGGAATAAACTTTATACATTCAATATTACATCAAAGTAAATGGTTACTACAAGAAGCAATTATTTAAACATTAGAAAGACAGAAATATTAAATGTAGCACGTACATAGTCGTTGCAATTAACACATAATACAAAATAGTAATATAGCTAGAAGATATGAGCATGAACATTAATTAACATATTGAATGAGACATAGACAATAACACATGAAATCAGACATATCTGATAATTATAACATGTCAGGCAAAACATGGACAGCAAGTGTAATTAGCACATCAAGCAAAATATTTACAACTTTTAACACAAAAAATAATGCACGGACAATCACCATTAGTGAACACACAGTTCTGTATAAGGTTTGAATTGAACCACATCACCAAACATGCTCACCTCTTCAGCTGTAGGTACTTTATAATGGGATGGTCACTCCCACTATTCATTGGTAAAAGAATAGCCCAAGAGTTGGTGGTGGGTGATGTTAACTAGTCTTCCCTTCAGTCTGTCATTTCAAAATTATGGATGACTAGTGCAAATAGCTCTTTTGCAGCTTTGCACGAAATTCAGTAAAAAAAACAACAAACAATAAGGTTTGAACAGTAAGTATAATTATTTTAACGAATATGATAACGATAACATTATTAACAACTTTTCATGTAACGTAGTAATGATGCCAGAGTGAACTGTATACAGTGCTTTTCTTTTCTTTCTAAAACAACAGATATGTTTAAATTACAGTTGGGATAGGAATAAAGAACTAGGTCATGGAATCTTTGATTTCCCCCCCCCCCCCATTTTTGTCATTTGATTGTTCTGTGTTAACAGTGGTAGGTGTGGCTTATCACAGTAAAAAATAAAAGTGGTATTTGAGAAGAATTATTGGAAAAATGCTAGCATTTGAAATCACAACTGAAGAGCATGTAATCTGCTGGACAGATTTGTAAGGTGCATTTGGAAATTGGGATCTTTGTATTTTTATGAGTAAAAGTTAGTTGTAAAGTGCTTAACAGATGTTTGTGAAAAAAGTTGTTAATAATTTGATGAAAATACATAAAGTACAGAAATTTTAATGTGCAAAAAGTGTGTATTGATGGTAGAAATTGAAGTGAAGAAACTATAACATGTATGTTAAACAAATGAATAACTAATACTTTATGAAATTTATTTTCTGTTTATGCCAGAATTGTAACATGAAAAAGATAGTTGTAGATCAATATTTATGAAATTACAGACAGAAAATGCTGATAATTATTGCATCTTGATTTAAAGTTTTATATCCAGTGGAACTTGAGCTAAAATCATGACTTAATAAATGATCATGGATTCTGTCTTGTTAGTACAAAATTAATAATTTTGTATACATATATAAATTAAAGAGCTAATATTCCCAGAACACTCCACCAGTGTAGAGTTCAAGTAAAGTCTTACTCTTTAAATTGTGTTAAATACATTTGTTAGCAAGGGAACCGTAAGCAATTATCTCATTTTTTTGTACTTTAATTCATATAGTTGCAAAATATCATACATATGAAACTGTTAATAAATCTAAAATATATTTCTTAGTATGCATATATGAATATTTGTTTTTCATATATATAATTAATTGTTAGTTAACATAGTGCTTGAAATGCTTCTTATTTTTAAGAAACAACTGATTAACTTGTGAATAGGTGAATATGCTGGGACTCAAGGCTTAGGTCTACTGAGATTACACAGCACCTACAGACATGACTTGAAGATCTATGCTTCTGATGAGGGTCGAGTGCAAATGACAGCAGCTGCTTTTGCAAAAGTAAGTATTTCCAACAAGGTGCTGATACTTTATGTTATTGTATTCATAATTTTCAGTCATATCTAATGTATGAAATGGTTGTTTTCCTTTAAAATTTCCCATTCTTAATATAAAAAGTTAATCTTTCTAGTAAAGTTTCATTATTGTCTACATGTATAAAGCAAAATTAAAACATAAAATATACATAGTAAATGCAATGAACAAATCATAAATAATACTAATAAAGCCAAAAGAAAAGAATGTTAACTTTAATTAACTCATTGGATGAGACAAACAATAGCCCATGAAACAAAATGGGAGCAGTGTATGTAACTAACACATCAAACAAGTCATGGACAGTAAATGCAATTAGCACATAAAGCAAAATGTATAGAGTTTTTATATAAAACAATGCATGATCAATAACGTTTTTTATTACTTAAAAGAAATTTTTGTTTACTTATTGTGTACAAATTTGCTAATATGGTATGTGTTTCCAAGCTATTTATAGTTATTCTTTGTTATGGATGTAATCACAATTATGTTGATTGTTCACTGAAATAATTATAACAAAAACCTAGACACAAGTTAGTCCTGCATATTCAACAACTCCATGTTCAGCCTAAACAGTGCAATGATAAATACATGTTTTAAATTATATAATCACAGGGAGATTTATATAAAAAACATGTAGTCAACTAGTAAAATAGAAATTTAATGTTTAGACATTGTGTAACATCTTACACTCCTTTCCTTTTCAGCTGTTATAAATGCATGGTGAATCTTTTATCTTAAAATACAGAATAAAAACAACATTCTGAGTTAGTGTTGGTTGTTAGCACTGTTCAAACAAACATTTTCTTTTCAGTTTGTAAATAAAACATGTTTTTAGCCTTATTCAGTTTCATAATTTTGAATATTTATTCAGATTTGCTCTATAAAAGAATGTATACCATTTGTTTCAGTTATCAGATGTTATACTTAACTTGAGAAAACTCTTTAAAAATGAAAAAAATCAAAAATGCACTATTTAATTTTGGTTTTAGACTTTTCAGCTATTACATCAGAGATATTTGGATTATGTTTTTACATCATGTCCATTTAACAATTACATTAGTTTTGAATACTCGTGAGGAAGGAGAGAAGGTCTTCCAACAGGACAAACTTTCATTCACCTATAGGCTTTTTCTGGTAAACAAAACACTAAATTAAGTGTTCAGTAGCCTTTGTACATTATTTATTCTTCAGAATACACAAAGGCTGGTTGATATGGCAGAAAGATTGCTGAAATATGATGAAAAAAAAAAGATTAAAAACTGTGTGATACTTTGAAATATTTCAGTAACTTCTTATTGTGGCTGGTTCAAACATCTTTTATGTTAAAAATTAGTAGATAACACTAAGGTAAAGTCTACCAACCTAATATGAATCAAGTCATTATAGTTGGATTGGTTTGTCTTATATTTACAAATTTATCTAAAATACCTTGATAAAAAAAAAAAGTAAACTGTATTTTTCTGTTTGTCACTACTGGTCAAAAGCACAATATGTACGTCTTACAAGAAAAATTTTAGTTCAAATTAAATGTCCAAAATTTAAACACTCATTTATTATGAGAGCAAGTAAATTGTATGTTGTTCAACAAGTATTAATATGGGGTAAGGTTAATACATTACCAAGTTTACGCTTAGATGTTTTTAGGTACTTGTATTTAGAAATTATGTGAAACTTATGTTTACTAAAAGCATAGATTTAAGGCAAGAAACAAAGGTACATGTGTGTCATAGGTGAGGCACAAGTTAGGTATAAATAAAACTTACTGTTTGTTACCATAGATATGTATAGTTTTATAAATGTGTAAACACGTGTGTATTTTTAATAACAAGAAAAGTTGATGTCAAAATATTTGATTAACAGGCCAGATTTTTTTTGTTAATGGAAAATGAATGGAAATGAACTTGTAAATAAAGTTTGATGTTTTTGTGAGTGCTTATGTTGTAAGGAAGAAAGAAAAGTACCTTAAATATGTTATATGATGGATGTGTAAAAAAATGTAACAATAATAAAGTTTAAAATGAAGTCCAAAAAAACAAAATTTTAGATTTATTAATGAAGAGAAGCTTCAGTTGCCTTGTTTAACCCTCTCTCCATGGGCATGTCATGGGGTTTTAGTGAGTTACATTCAAAATTTAAATCAAATTACTTTCTTTTCATGGTATACTAATAAATATAGCATAAGAATGCAGCTAATAGTCCATGTTTTAATAGTATGTAACTTTTAAGTTGTTACTTTTATAGGGCAATATTAGAAAAAAATCTTGAATTCCCCCAAGTATGAGAATTGTGACATTTGCTCTCTAGGCATCCACTCCAAGAAGTATGAAATTTAACATAAATTGCTAATAATAAATGTTGTCATTTCTCAGGCAAAGCATAATTTTTATAGCTTTGAATCTTATT